TGACAGTGTCAATTAAATCCACAATTGTAACGTCAGTATTCTCCTCTAAGTGCGGCAGTGTGATTAGAAAACGCTGATCTGAGTGACGAATAAGCGTTAGATAATGCGAATCAATGACAGGCAGGATTCGACGTAATTTTCAGAGACTTAACAAGCGAACATACGTACAGGCGAGGCGCGAGCATGCTTTACTCATTCCGGGCGGCCCACGCGGGACAAATCACCATGAGCACTGAGTGCTCTAAATTGACACATGATTAAGCGCTAGTACGTTCCCTCTATTAAATCCACTATCTGAAACGCCACCGTCGGACGTGACACCCATGCTTTATATCTCACAAACATACTCACCTTTATACGAATAATAATAGCGAAGCCCGCTCGCCCCTTTTCACCACGATGGAAATACGGCGTGATTCATACCGACGTCATATTTGCAAGTCGAGCGGCCGGCCGGCCGTGCACAAACCCGCGTGGCTTCTTCAACGCGAACTGTCAACTGCGACCACTCGACGCCGACGAAACGCGCCGCCTCAGCTCGGCGATGCCCTCGCGTGTGATTGCGACGCCTCGCGACTTCGCTCCCGGTCTCGCACTGCGCTGGTCTCCACCGCCGAGGGAAGAAGCGGTTGCGAAAGAGCGCGCGAGGACGGGAGGACGGGAGCGCGCGAGGACGGCGCCGCTGCGTGGTGGGGGAGGGCGCGAGGGGGAGACCTCCAGAGATGCTCCAAGCGATAGCCATTCCACAAACGTAATTGACAGAATGGAATCAACGAAATATGCCCGCGCTGGCTCGTGCGAGGACTGGGCTACTATTTCCATTATCGCGAGGTTGCCGTGTTTATCTTATCGGGTATTATCTGTGGCGGATGGTTCGCCGGGGGCCTAGAGTCAATTAGTTACAGCGTAATGTAGGGGAAACGTTTACATATCCGAAAAAGAATCTGTTCACCCGTTCGTCCGTTACGTGTTACGATTGTTTGCGCATTTTTTCACAGCGTAGTTGATACATTTTAATCTTGTGCGCTCACAAGGAAGAGGGAAATGCATCTGCCTCCTCCTAAATTTTTAACTTAGTTTATGGTATAATTTATATTCATAAAAATTACACAATAAACTATACCATACACATTTCTGAAATTAATTCTTCTTAAATTAATTCCAAGATAATATTTCTTATGCTGTATCATGCACTTCCATGAGTGCAGAGCGTTCATTCACCACATTGCCAAGGGTAAACACTGGTTAAGATAAATGAGACAGACAGGACTCTATGGATTATGCGTATTGACTATACACACGATATTTGTTTCAGAAAAGAAGAAAGAATATAGGATGAAATATTGAAGGTATTTCATGAAGTCACTGAAACTTGTGAGAGATTAAAAAAGTATTTCTTCAATTATATTCGAAAAATATTTTGTTTGTTTCTTTGAAAGATTAATATCATAAAAATAAAATACTATATTGTTTATATTTTATATATTAACAATTTTTTTTATTCTAAGAAAATAAGAGCTCTTTTTTCTGTTTTATATTCGTTATGATTTTGGTTGTTAGAAAAAGTTAATTTTAAAACTATTATTTTCAATTATTTACATCATTTTATAAACTTAAATGTGTAATTGTAATTTATTTAATGATTGTATTAATTATTATTTTATGCCACTTCCACTATTAATACTACTTCCTATTTATCATTCGCCCCTACCAACTGAAAATCCTAGTTACGACCATTATTTTCGATACAAGCTTATCCTCCGTTGTGACTAGCCATTGCAAATCCCTGGGTGAGCGGATTTTCGTGTCTGCTGTTAAGACATAATTTCTGCTTGCTCAGAGTTTTTCAAGGTGGTTCAGTGGAACGGTCGCGTAGCGTCGGCTTATTCAAGTGGAAGTTAACGTCAACGCAAACGACACAGCATCCTTGCTGTTTCACACTTACCAAGAGGTCGTGTTTTTTTTTGATTTCTAGTGAGACCACGGGTGGAAGAATAGGAACGCAAGTAGAACGCAAATCCTCGACAATGGTTGAAATGATTTTTCATGTAACATACGCCGAACGGAAGCCAATGGCTCAAGGTAGCATTCCGTAACCCAGCTGATAATTCTCTCTCGTGAATGTTTCTTTATCTTCCTTACATAGTAAAGAGAAAGTATTGTAATGATTATCGCAAAGTGACCTTTTTGCCAGAAAAACGAATATAGAGGAAACCTAATATCGAACAAGTGGATAAATCTTGCTCTTAAATGCAGTAAATTGCTTCCTCTAACACGCTGTATAGTCAGAATCAACGTTTTGTGGGTCCGTGATACCGAGAAATTCGTTTACGACATAACGTTTGCCTCCCCGTCTTTCTAGTCAACGCTAGCGCCGAAAATGTTCAGACGATTTTCTCCAAAATTGATATACCCACGTCAATCTTGACGAACTCGAGGCCCTGCGAATTTTAAATGGATATTTTAATTACTTTGGTAGGGGGGATTTACATGAAGCCTTAACATTTTCACTTTTTTTAAATAAAATAAAATAAAATTAAAAAAAAAGGATTCAAAGTTATGGATTAAATTTTTCAGGGCATCAAAGTACGCTTAAAAGTGGCGCAGGTCTCATTTTCATTGATTTGCAAATTTACAAATAATGCAAGAAAATGTGCGATTGCATCACTACTAGTTGGCCGCTGTCTTTCACATTTGTGCTTTCACATTTGTAACCGCAGATGCGAAGAGCCCTCAAGTGTTTCACTGTCTACCAAATGATTTACGATGTATTAACAGGTGTAGGGTAACTGTCTTTGGCTGGAAAACCGTACGAAAATACTCTTGGAACAAAGACAAGTGTTCCTTGTGTAGTATACTCGTACATTTCCATCGTTTTAAGCGTAATGTGTCTTTATAAAATTAATGGTACTAAAACATCACATACTTTCTCTCACTTTTCCTGTAACGGTTACCTAATATAATACTAATTGAACTCGCCAAATTGTTCCCAAAAATATTTGCCCGCGGTGGAATTGGAACATATCGCACAAGACATACGAATATACAGTCTTTCCAAGCAAGGTACAAAGTATTGACACTTAAGCAAATGCATTATTGTAATCTACGACTGTAGGAAATAAATGATAAAATATACAAATTCATGACCGCAGAATTTTGTATGTACACACACCTTTGTATTCGGCCAGGATTTCTCTCAGCGTCCTTACACGGTCCTACATGATCATGGTTTCTTTGATATTCGCAATCTTCAAAAGCGCTTGGTTTTCGCGATACTCCATAAAACCTTATGTTGCAGTACTTAATAAATTGAACGTTGTGATAAATCAACTGTTAGTCTGGCGACTTGAGTTAATATCGGCAACACTAAAACCAACTATAATACTTACCTCTCTGCTTTGGGTCGACAGTCCCATAGGGGCCTTGACCAACCACAGCGGTGCCCCAGCCTCTCGGCAATGGGGGTTCGTGCAGTTAGCACGAAGACATCCCTCCACCATATGTACTGGTCTTGTTAACCTTCGAGCGAGCTTTCTCATTGTCACACAGCAATAAATATTGGGACATTTGTACGGAAAGCGCACAATTAATTAATTTTTCCCCGACCGGGAAGCGAACCCGGGGTTGCGCCGTGGAAAGTGAGCACGCTTACCGAGGACTTCATAATACTCACCTCTGTATGATTATAATTTCTGAAATTTTAATTTATAAATTTTCATACGTCTCCACAATGAACAGAGGTGAATGTCCAAAAACGCAGCATATGTTGTGAAGTAATGTTTTTCGAACTCGCATTTTTACTTTCCTCCGCTCCTCTACACTCCGTCTCAAGTGGCAAACCTATCAGCCGAAAAACATTTACTTCTCAGTCTTGAAACACGTATAACTGTGTTATAGATAAATAACTGTCATAATTCATTGTCATAATAAATAACTGTCAACTATCAAAATTATGTACTACTATAATTCTAGGGTTGGAGGTTCATGTTCAATTTTATTTTTGATTGATAGATTTTATTGTGTCTGTGCATGTCAACTGCCATGTTCACTAGTCCCGTACATGTAGTCTATGTTATACCGCGGGATGTCTCGCTGCTTCTCCATTACGTGAAATTCGGCGCCTATCTATACGTCGGCTTGCGGGGGTTTCACCCCTCCAGGTATCTCGAACAGTCGGGCACCGGATCAGCCGGGACAAGTCCTAAACTCCAGACTGGTCTCCAGAAGTGTGAGGTAGTATCTCAAATGTTAGTCTGAAAATGTAAGAGGATAGGTGCGGGTAAGAATAAGGAAGGGGAGATCGCGCGCGAACAGTGGTCCACGGTACATAGACGCAACGCGTCTCTAAGCCCTTTGCGGTGTGTTGAACACTTTGCGCTAGGAGTAATCCTCCATTAATTTAGTTCGCTAATTATTAGGAGTAATACTACATTACTAGTATGTCATGTCACACCTCGTGGAAGTCAGTTGTCAAAAGAACCGCCAGGTAGCATCTCCGCGTTGAAAGATCCCGTTGAAAGGTCAATGATGGTCAATGATTGTCAATGAATGGTCATTGTTGGCTCATTGTCAATATAAAATTCTTCCATGTCAAACAGTTTATGTTGTTCGATTATCACCAAGGAATAAACAATATTTTAAGCAAAAATATTATTGTGAATATTTTGAATGTATGATATTGAAACTGCCTTGACTTCCTTCTGTTTCCTTGCTATTTTGCAGCTGCTAGAAGAATAGCTTCAAGAATCCAGGAAGTTTGTAATATGGTGTCAGGATTAGCGGATTATATACTGAGAGACCACAATCTCCTACATATTTTTTTTACTAAGACAATGAATCATCGAGATTACAAACTGCAATTCGTTTTTACAACTTGAATGCATTGATTTCATTTCGAACTATAAAAAAATAGAAAAATACTTGGCCGTAGTTGTTCTGAACCAACCGTCCTATTGGTCTAATAAAACAAAAATAATAGAATCTTTTTCAATGTATAAGTGTATTTTGGCGTTAGATTAGATTAGCATAGATTGAACAGATGCCTTACTTATAATAACTGATTTCTGAAACATTAATACAAATATTCCTTTTATTGCATTTGTGGATTGGTCACTACAGAGAAAATAATACCTTGTTACTGTCGCGGAGGAGTGTTACACATACTGTTACAATATATATTCCTGCTATTAGTTTATGTCAGGTACTTCTCGTAAAAGTCAGCATCCCAAGACTATGTACAAATGCGACTTCACGTACATTTTTTTAGTATGATTGTGGTGAGACATCAATATGTACGAATGCCCAATGCACAGCTAACAAGTATCTTTTACTGTCTAAAACTACCATTTGCAACTTAACTTGGAATGTTCGTGGGCCAATTACAGGACGAATCAATCGCAGAGCACCTGAAACATTTAAGATATTGAATTAATATTATTTTGGTACATATATCGTAAAATGAATATGATGAACAAAAAGAGAAAAATTCAAGATATAAAAATGTGTAGTAATAAAAGGAAGGTTGGTTGAAGTAATTTACTTAAGATGCAGGATGAAATTTAGCAGTCGTAAAAATCAATATTAAATATATAAAATGTCCCTTCAATTGTATTGCAATGCATTCTGGGGTTCTCCATGAAACATTGTCCCTTAATTGACCATTGACGGGTATCGAATTGGTATTGACACGCGACTGTGAATATTACCCATTAATTCCCTTACCATTTTGTCCTTACATGAATGGATAACTTTAGAAAGTGCACCGTTTAAAATTTCATCGAAACCAGAATCTCATTAGAATATGGCAAAAAACAATAATTAGAAGACAACACTTTTTCGAGACACGATGTGCTTTTGCCGCTATTAGAGTTGGAAGGTGGTTTGTACACCTGGATTTTCATTGATTAATTGATTAGTGATTCCGGGCGAGTCTACTGTTGAGATCATTAGTCCCGTAAGTGTAGAGCATATATTTATCGCGGGTAGTGGCGGTGATCTTCCCTGGCTGGATGGTGAGATCCTACCCGACGACTTGCGGAGATTTCACCAAACAGGTATCTCCCATCAGCGGAGTACCCAACTGGTTTCTCGTCATGTGTGATAGTGTAGAGCATGAACGTGTAAGTGTGTGGGAGGAGATGTCAAGGAAGAGTAAGGAAAGATCGCGCGTGGTCCGTTAGGTTACTGCTCCGGCATTCACCTGGTGTTGATTGGAGAAACCACAATCAGAACAGTCAAAGAACAGCAGAGGAGAAAATTAACGATCAGGGCAGCCGACCGCTAGAATTCTCCACATGAGAGCAGCTGAATTCGACCTTGCTATCTAGCTAGTGTCGAAAACCATGACACCGTCATGACTTTAACACTAGGGCCTCCCGGTCAGAGGTACTGCTGCAACATTAATTGATGCTCTGAGCCACCTCTCCCGGTTTGTGTACTTGGCAACACGCGCTCCAATTCTTGTACTTCGGTCACACTTATTGCGTTCCGATTTGAATCCATTCTGGCTGTCACTATTCTCACTCCAATCACGTCAATTCACAAAGTTGTGATTTTCATCGTATGTATTCGAACAGGGTGACTTTCCGATAATATTTAGCGGTACGCTTACCAACATGACTCACAATAAACACGAGCTAGTGCACGTCTTGAAATCAGAGGATCTCAGCAAAATATAAGTCATTTTTGTTCGCCATATTTTGCAGAACACGCTGATGTTGATATTTTACACCAAGACGCGTTCTTTTTACAGTGACTCACGAGGAGGAGAAGAAAGAGGAGACGATGGAGACACAAAATTAAATATATTCTGACATACATAAAGATTCACGTATTCTGCACATTTATATTTTTTCTATTTATTTTACGTAAATTTATGTTCATTCTCGCTTTTGACAGGAATAGCGAGGCCGCAACACCGATCTTTTTTTTCAGTTTTGTTTATTTCTTTATAAATTATTCATAGACGTGATATATTGAAGTTAGCACATTTGACCCGTTTGAAACAAAATAAACTCAATTATTATGAAAATTATTGATTGATAAATTGTTGTTTCTGCGCACGTTACCGGCTACGTAATTAGACCCATACGTGTTGTACATGTGAAGTCCCGGAATGTGGCGGTTTACCTGTGCTGCTGATACCAGAGACCCGGAACCGACTTACATGTCGAAATTGCGGAGGTTCCCCCTCCAAGTATCTCTGGCCAGCGCAGCACCGCCCCAGACGACACAAGCTCTGAGCACCCGAATGCACACCCGACATATGCGGTAGTGTCGTGCATGTAAAAAAGGTGTGTATGTGTGTGTGTGTGTGTGTGTGTGTGAGTGAGTGTGTATAAGGGGAGAGGTGGGCCATAGATGAGGAAAGAAAAATCGCGCGCGGTTCGCGGCCCGTTTGCCAGGGTATTGCTACAGCATTCCCCTGGTATTGATACGAGAATCCACGGAAAACTACATATCAGAATATACGGCTGCTAGAATGCTACTCCAGTCAATGACTAAATTAGATCTAGCTATTTAACATGAGTAAAAACATCCACAACCGTCAGTACACGATATGTTGCCAGATAGAGTGGGTGTTATGAAAAACGTTGCTAACCTAAGCTAACTCAAACAGTAATAAAGTTACTAAAATTCAGAAAATGCCTCGTGTTCTTCATTTTGTTAATGAATTCTTGAAATTTAGTTTCAAGCTAGTGGTCCGCAGGAGCAAAAATGCTGCTGAACGAAAGCACACACAAAGTAGTTTTCCAAAAAGTGGCACGGACTCATGCTGCCCGAGGACAACAAATAAAATCCTCTATAATGTCACGGCATTAAATTAAGTATTTTAACAATAGTATTCACGAATTTTACTATAACATAGCATAATGTCTATACAAAACAACAATTCTTCACATACAAAAAAATACCAAAAAAGTTGCGGATCCATATCGTTTCAGAGAATGGTGCTGGTTTCATGTTCGTTTAAAACCCTGATTTTTCGAATATTTGCAAAAGTTTAATTTTTTCGGTTTCCTGCAGCTAAAATATTAAAGATAGAGATTTTTTCACTTAATGAGATCTGTTTCGTAAAGTTGTTGTCGTTGTTGTTGTTCTTCTTCTTCTTCTCCTCGGTGCCATACACCTGAAGTGCATCGGCAGCACACAGGCCGCGTTCTCTTTCTTCTTCAACCAGCTCTTCAAATTGTTGATGCCGATCCAGGTATTGATATTCTGTAGCCACGATTTCTTTCTTCTACTTGGTAGGGGATTGATTCTATTCTCCCTTCTAAAATTAGGAGTAGAAGTTCATATATTTTTCCTGTCAGAATGTGCCCCATAAAGATAGATTTTGAAATAAGGTAATGAACAACTTTCCAAAATTTGAGTACTTATTGCGTAATTTTTTGATGAAAAGTACGTGCTGTTTTAGCACCACTACTTCCCCTTGGTTTTGGAGCATGCAACAGTGCCCATATCATCGCGGCCGGCCGGCCGGCAGGCCTCACGTGCGGCCCCGGCCTGAACCGTTGAAGGAGGTACACTCATTAATGCATTCTGTAAAACCACCACCCTTTCCTTTTTTTAAATTTCTTCTGTATTTCAAAACCTCAGTTAATGAGATTTATCAATATTTTCATGAGCAAGCATCACGCACCTGCAAAAGTATATATTTATGAATCTTGCCTATATATTTACGAATCTGAAATATTTGTCAAAACTGACTTACTTAACGATGGGAATATATTTTCATGTTATACTGATATTTATAATTACATCACACGTCGTAAAAATAACGTTCAGCAAGTGTCAGTATCAACAGCTCACTATCAGAAATCCACATACAATACATGTACGTTACTTTACAACGCATTGCCAGATGACATTAAACAATTGAAGTTGGTACTCAAATTTAAGTTAAAAGTAAAATATTTTCTGCTGCATAACTGTTTCTATGCAATTAGAGACAATACTGATTATCAAAAAGAAAATTAATGTTTATTTTAACAAAACGGTGACATAATAAATTAGTTTACATTTGTATTGTATTATTTTTTTAAAAGATTTAATATGTTTGTAACAAATAATGTATTAGAGCTTCCGGGTTAATGGCTCCATCTCGATCAGGGTTTTGTCCAGTTTCCATTGAGCAAATGCTGAGATCGCCTCTTGTATGGCGTCTGGACGTAAATGTAGCTTTAGTACGCGCACGTTTTGTTGAATTCTCCTTTTGCTTAAGTAAGAACATGGCGTGGTGGCCGACCGCGCAGTGGGCAGCAGTGACAGTGCTTGGAACTAAACGAATTGATACTAAATGGCGTTTCTACGAAATTATGATTCTCAATTCTCGACAGGGTTTTGTGCTTCCGAATTTATTTACGACTGAGAAAATCTTCATTCACTATCAATTTTAGATATCAGTGTCAAGAGTATATATGTATACGTAATATGAGGAATTAAATCAGATTTTAATTAAGAAAATTTTGGCTCGAAGTTTCTGATATTTCCTCAACATGAGGGTTTAATGTTGACATGTCTGTGCGAATGTACTACGTACATTTTATTAGTTGCCGATCTTGAGAAGGAACTTCTACTATTTGTGTACATGCGTTTTTCACATTGTTCTCGATTATACAATTTACTGAGAGAGACCACACAAGATAAGCAAACGTGTGAAACACGGACTTGCTGCTAAGCAATGCAAGGTCATTCGACATTGCGGGAGACAAGGAAGAGTAGACACGTGGAAGAAACAAAACAGTCGAACTCGTGACACCACTGAGCGAATTATCCACGTGCGGACAAATGCTATGTGGTCTACTCAGTTGAACACATTTTCATATGCCCTAAATACGAAACGATCAGACTTAAGTACAAACTGAATTCGTCTGCTCAAATGTAAGAGGCAGGGAATTATGTAATAAATTTATTTAGTTCCGGAAGGAAATTAATGTGTTCAACAAAATATAAAGTATTATCGTAAAAGCGTTTAAAGTACACACACTCACACACACACACACACACACACACACACACACACACACACACA